GGCGTCCGTGCGTGCGTGAGTGTGAGAGAGAGTGTGTGCGTGTGTGTGTGCGCGACGCGTGTGTGTATTCTCTCTCTCTCTCCTCTCTCTCTCTAGCTCTCTCTCTCTCTCTCTCTCTCTCTCTCGTCTCTTTCTCTCTCTCTTCTCTCTCTCTCTCTCTCTCTGTGCTGTGCGTGTGGCGTGTGCGTGTTGCGCGTGCGCGTGCGCGTGCGGCGTGCGCGTGCGCGTGTTGTGTGTAGCGCATATAAGGCAAGGAGGTATGAAGTGAGTGCGAAACAAGTGAAATGTCACATAGTTCGATTAGTAGCGCGATATTCGCTGCGGCAATTGTTTACAGCCGACATTTGCCGAGGACGACGAAGCCTTTACCCGTGAGGCGTACGACATGTCCTATTTATAACGGCTAGACGTACATACCATACAATCGTCCGACCTGATTAATAAAGGCAGTGCGATATTCTATTAACACCGGCCTGATAAGAAATACGACGTGAGTCGCTCGTCGCCTTCTTCGTATTCATTACTACTAGCGTCATGCAACGAGTACGAGTACGTATAGTTCTAGTACTGTCGTAGCCCTAGTACTATAGTACTATAGTACTGTCGTAGCCCTAGTACTATAGTACCGTCGTAGCCCTAGTACTATAGTACCGTCGTAGCTCTAGTATAGTACTGTGGTAGCCCTTCGCTCCTTCCTCCTGCGACGAAGCACTACGAGTGCTTGTACATACGTACGTATGTAATATCACGAGAGCCCAGACCCTCTCTGGCTCTCATAACTTAAGATTGAGATGAAAATAACACATTTGCAGAAAGAATTGCAATTATAGTGATATTATATGTTATATTAATGAGGAAAAGATACGTTTTTCATGGAAAATACATCAGAAAACGTACTTATCTAGCGGTCATAAACTCAAACAAACATTTACAAATGGGCGTTTGTTCTCTTGTCAAAGGCAAAGCAAATCGAAGCAGCCAATCAGAAGGCGCTAAATTCTTCGCTATGTTATACCGTTTGGGAAAAAAAATTTCGCAGGCGGGCCAAGCTCTAATTGTGCGCAAATAAATAGACGTGACCCAATCACCGGTTTTTTTAAGCAAGTAGTAATTTGTGACAAAAAGGGGACGACACAACCAGTTGCTAATTTCCAACCATTAAAACTAGGCTGTCGTTACGTGCGCTACCTTGTTCACCGTCTACTGAACTGACGCGCAAAACAGTAACATCCATTCTTCTCTAAACTCTTATATTAACCGCAAAATCTAAATATTGTTAGTTTTCGCAGCCGACGAAAATTTTCCGTCACGCATTGCATAAAGTGTGAATGTCAGTTGTGCCACTCACCGAACGCCTTTTGGTTTTCTCAGTTGTGGTGACAGACTGAAATTGCTGACGTTTCGCAAAAATTACAGTTTCTTCTCCGTTTTTAATTTTTGATTTTTATTCCCAAACGTGCATGCACGCACACGCACGCGATTGCTCGCGCGCAGGGGCACGTAAACTAGCCTTGATATTTTGGCTAAAGCTATTAAAATAAATGAGAATAAAGCAAGGCGGTGGTTTCGATTATAAGCATAGGTTATAACCCCTGGGTGTACACTGTTTGACTACTGAAGCCTACAGCCTATACACAACCGTGGTGCGAGAAGTTTAAAATTGAACCTAGCTCTAGGCGGCTTAGCTCGCTCTGTCCAAATTTGTACTAGGACTGTGTAAACATGCCGGATATGGTCGAGATAACCTTGAAGCTATTTCAATGCGATAGTGTTGCCGCGTTGCTAACGTTTGTGTATCGTTCCAACGCTTCAAACGTCACCAGTGGCGCCACCCAGCAGCCAATTGTACAACGTGGTTATGATTCTTGTGCTATAGCGCGGGGGGGGGGGCGTTTTCTGCTAGATATTGCCAACTGAATGTTTTGTTTATCTGCGAGTTTCTGTGAAACATCTCATAGGCACGTCGTTGCGGCAATGAAATCCACGTAGATTATGGTGACAAAATATAGCGTTTTTCCTTTGTCCGCACTGTCGGTTAAAGCTGCAATCGCTCTGCCATTTTCCATTTACGAATAAGACACATCCAATTTATTTACTGCGGATATGTGGTAGCAGTGCGAAAAAGGCTGAATATATTTTCAATCTCACCGACGGTGTTGCTATGCTGAGCATAACGATAGTTACACGACTTCCCAACCAGTTGTCCGCAGTAGATTCCTTTGCTTCGTATCGATCCCTGACTGGGGGAATTGAGAATGTGATCGGTGCTGCCCTCTACTAGTGAACATGTCAGATAACTTCTGGCTCAGCTGTATCTTGCCTGGGGAACGACCGGTTTTCTGTAATGTGGCAGTTAATGACAGTCATCAAGTAGGATGTGATGATACACCTTAGACTGGCACCCTATATAATTATTCACTTCAATTAATCCACTAACAAGATGAAGCGAGATGGTACCAGTTTAGACGATGTTCGGCCCATCACCTGCGCAATCACGGGAGCTAATTGCGTGAATATTTTGAGAAACGCAATTAACCTACATGAAGCGTGGCTAGCGTCTAATAGTCACGCACTCTGTGTAATCATAGAGCTTTCCACTGCGACTGTTGCCGACCGCCCACAGTCCTTGTCAAGTTGCGTGGCCGAGCCTGTTCGTCAAAATCGGCTTAGCGTTTAGAATCAGATGACGTTGCGCCACCTGGTGGACGAACTGTTTACGACCGGTCACGATATGCCTAGTAAAATCAGAATATTGGTTTTCAAATTCACGCAAGTTGACGCAATCTCTATTACGGCGATAAGAAGAAATTCAACTATTGAGAAAGGGGTAAACGTGCATCCCGAAACACACAAAACGACACAATGCGAATATACCTTTGTCCATTTTCTCGTGCTATAGGGCTGGTGGTGGTTTCACTGGTGATAAATCAGCTTGAAGCGGTAGCAACCATTAAATAAAAGTGCGAATGTCATGAGTAATTCACGTACACTGCATAAATTCACTTGAACGTTTCTGCATTTCGGTTAATGACATCTGCATCGTGTCACAGATTGTAGGCATGATGTATTCTTCGTGTTTATGGTCGTTTCAAGTTGCGTATAGACTGCGGTAAACTTATTTGCAGGCCCGAAGCCCATCCGAAATGGCTCTTCACAGTCCAGATGTAACGAAGAGGCAACGAGAGTTGATCTCACAGTTAGAAGCAAAAAACAGGTATGAGGAAAGTGCAATCATTTTTGCGTCAGTGTCAGTATGCTGTCTATTGTTTAAGATAGTTTCACCGTGCCACTAAGATTTCATCTGCCTACTATAGCATCATGTCAATGCAGTTTCAGCTGTCTGCTATAACACTAGCATGTATGTTAAATGTTATCTGTTTTCTACAGCTTTTTTGCTCATAGAGTATTTGTTATGGTTCGCATATTCAACGCACCAAATGCTGTAGTTTGATTCACCTACTACCTGAATGAAGCAGTTAATTCCTATCGCAGGGAGATCATGAGAGAGATACAGCGCTTGAAAAAGGAACAGGAGATGGCAGCAGCAGAGCATACTCTGTCATCCACTCGAAACCCAACTCTGATGGCAGAGCTGCGGTTGCTACGGCAACGCAAGGATGAATTAGAGATGCGCATGGATGCACTGCAGGACAGCCGGAGAGATCTCATGGTGCAGCTAGAAGGTCTCATGAAGCTACTCAAGGTAATCGTCATTACTTCACTTCACTTAACTTATATATCTTGATAGTACAGTCTCACTTCTCGGTGTGATTGCCACATCTCAATATGTTTAGTTACATCACCGTAGCTGGTGTGCAGCCGTGCATGCCTCGGTGTTAGATAGCTACAGTAATATTTCTGTACGTGGTTACATTGCTGAGAGTGACACGTTCCTACATGCGACATTACCTCGTCTACACGCTAAAATTACGTTAAAAAACGTGACAGTCGACTTCCTACACGCGACAGTCACGTTCTTACCCGCGCACTAACGTTTACTACACGCTATACTCACGTTCCTTCACGCGACAGTCACGTTCCTTCACGCGACAGTCACGTTCTTACCCGCGATACTCACGTTCCTTTACGCTACAGTCACGTTCTTACACGCGACAGTTACGTTCTTACACGCGACAGTTACGTTCCTTCACGCGACAGTAACGTTCTTACACGCGACAGTCACGTTCCTTCACGCGACAGTTACGTTCCTTCACGCGACAGTAACGTTCTTACACGTGACAGTCACGTTCCTTCACGCGACAGTTACGTTCCTTCACGCGACAGTAACGTTCTTACACGTGACAGTCACGTTCCTTCACGCGACAGTTACGTTCCTTCACGCGACACTCACGTTCTTAGCCACTTGCGACAGTTCACAGTTCCCTTCACGCGACAGCTCACGTTTCTTACCGCGTACTCAACGTTTCCTTCGCGCGACAGTCACGCTCCTTCCAGCTACATACGTTCCTTACGCAACATCACGTATTCTTACACGGCGACATGTCACGTTCCTTCGCGCGACAGTAACGTTCTTACACGCGATAGTTACGTTTCCTTCCACGCGACAGTACGTTCTATTACACGCAGACATGTCACGTTCTTACACGCGACACTCAACGTTCTCAAAAAAAACGAAAAACAGTCACGTTCTTAGCACGCGACAGTCACGTTCATCACAGGCGACAGTAAACGTTCTTGCACGGACTCGCAGTAACGTTCTTACACGCGCAGTCACTCTTAGAAAAAATAAAACACGCGACAGTCACGTTCTTACGACGCGACAGTAACAGTTCATCACACGTCCGACAAGTCACGTCTACACGCACCAGTCACGTTTCCTTCACGCTACAGTCACGTTCCATTACGCAACAGTCACGTTCTACACCGACAGTACGTTCTTACACGCGACAGTCACGTTCCTTCACGCGACACTCAGCGTCCTTTACGCGCGACGAGTAACGTGCTTACACGCGACAGTCACGTTCACTTCACGCTACAGTCACGTGCAACTTCAACGCCTACAGTCCAGCGTTGCCTTACGCAACAGTCACCGTTCTTACGCAAACAGTCACGTTCTTACACGCGGACAGTCACGTTCACACGCGACAGTCACGTTCCTTCACGCGACACTCGACGTTTTCTTTGCACGCGACAGTCACGTTTCCTTCACGGCACAGTCACGTTCTTACACGCGACAGTCACGTTTCTTTACAGCGCGACAGTTCACGTTCTTACACCGACAGTACACGTTCTTACATCGCGACAGTCACGTCTTACACGCAACAGTGCCGGTTTCCTTCACGCAACAGTCAGCTGTTTACACGCGACAGTCACGTTCTCAGCCGACAGTTCACGTTCTTACCACTGCGACAGTCACGTTCTTACACGCGACAGTCACGTTCTTACACGTCAGCGCGTCCACGTTCTACACGCGACCAGTCACGTTCCTTTCACGCGACAACTCACGTTTGCACGCGGACAGCACAGTTCCTTCACGCACAGTCACGTCTTCTTAACGCGACAGTCACGGTTCTACACGCGACAGTCAACGATTCTTGACACGCGACAGTCACTGTTCTTACACGCGACAGTCACGTTCTTCACGCAACATAACGGTATCCTTCACGCTTACAGTCACGTTCTTACACGCGAAGTCACGTTCTCACACGCGACAGCACCGTTCCTCACACTGCGCACAGTCACGTTCCTTAACGCGACAGTTATGTTCTTACACGCGACAGGACGTTCTCGACACGCCGACAGTCAGACGTTCGTTCCGAGGCGGACCAGTCCCATCCACACGCCGAACGTATACGTTCTTACACGCAACAGTCACGTTCTTACACGCGACAGTCACGTTCTCACACGCGACAGTCACGTTCTTACACGCAACAGTCACGTTCTCGCACGCGACAGTCACATTCTCGCACGCGACAGTCACATTCCTTCACGCGACAGTCACGTTCTCACACGCGACAGTTACGTTCCTTCACGCGACAGTCACGTTCTTACACGCAACAGTCACGTTCCTTCACACGACAGTCACGTCCATACACGATATAGTCACAGTCATACTTGTAACGTGACATCAATTAAGATTTTCTTTTTAACAGACACCGCCTTACATTTCACGGACATGCCTATGCATTTATCACGTTCGAGTATTAATTACGCATGCTGGGCCCGTCATTTATGACATTACGCTAATTCGCTGCTTTAAAATCTCCCGTCGTGTCTACAGCATCTACGCGTTCAAAAATAATGAGTGTGGCGCCTACTGTGCGTGTACAGAAGCTCTGCTTTACTGAAGCCGCTCCCGTTGAATAACCGGCGATGAGGTGGAAATTCTACAGGAAAAAGTCTCATGAAATGCCACGCGAAATTTAAAACGTTTTTCATTATTTTGCACAATAAGTTCACTGTGTGCTGAACGCAGCACGGACATGCGCACGGGCACATATTTGATGCCTCGGAGATGTGCGGTTACAGTACAGTTGACCGCACAAATATCTGTGTGTAGACTTGATCTGTGGTTAGCCGTGTCTGATGGATGGATGGATGGGTGGATGGATGGATGGATAGATGGATGCCGATGTCTGCCCCGACGTTGCCTAATGAAGTATTCGTCGTTACGATGCGTGAAAGCAAGCACGTCCAGCATGTTAATTGAACTAACGAGCTCAAGACTGCTCTACGAGCTCTGTTACGTCATCTCAGTGTCCAGCAAGTAGCCTTTTTTTGAATAAATAGCCGCGCTCGCCTTCCCCGCATAATAAGAGTTCATGGGAATAATATCGCGTAGTCGGCGTTCGGCAGTCCCCGAATGCGTGAAAAACTCTATAGGTTAACGACGGCGTGCGCCAGTCTGAAATACGCCCGCGCATAATATTTCGACAGCTATTCAAGTCTTCCTCCAACCACCGCGCGAACTGCGTGTGGAAGACACGCGATTTGCGACGGGCGGTGCCAGTCTCGGCTGTAGCCGTCGGCTACAGATTTAATGATTTTATGAGAATTAATCGTCTGCGACGGGAGTCGTGACGCAGCGATGACGACCAGGCGCGCAGTGATACAGTGGCGGCCTTGCTGCGTCGCCACGTTATATCAAGAGTCCATAATAGAAAATTTTCTGTTATGGACTCGATTATGGAAACATTGTGGATTGGAAACACATTGGAAACACATGGAAACATTTTGTTATGGAATCATTCTATATTATGGACTCTTTGTTAGGCCAATTTCAGTCGCTTCCATCGCATCTTCAAGTAACGCAGTCGGCCAAAACCGGTCGTGAAGAAGTGTGGGTCTTGTTCTTTTTCTTTTGCCCAATACTGTATGTAGTGTTAACTTAGGCGTGAAATACAACGTAATATATCCATTCCCAGAAGTTTATACTGCCTTACTGCCTGTTTTCATCGTATTTAAGGAACGGTTTGGATTCAATCTTATCGTAACCCAATCGTATTTTTCTAACTGTACTTGCACGCGCTTCGATAACTAGACGAGTGTTTTTACTATCTATAGATGCAGCGTGGCTGAGAGAAAAATTGTTGGTAGATGAAATTTGTGCGCGTGTGTTCGCATAGGAAATTGACTCTAAAACGGGTAGCCGGTGTCTGCGCCTGACCATGTGTGTCGTTGTCGAATATCACATCAACATCAACATCAATATAACAATCTCATCTACACAACGACAAATAACTTACGTTATGTCATGTCATCTACAAAACGACAAATAACTTGCGTTATATTATGTCATCTAAACACAACGACAAATAACCCGCGTACAACGTCTTTGCGGCGCAATATCCATGTTGGCTCATGTTATACGTCTCGCGCCTTGCTGCTTGAACGCATGCATCCATCGTCCTCCGGGAGTAGCGATTATATATATTATCAACAGCAACACCGACGGCGGCCTGCTGTGTTTCAGTTTCTCACGCGCGGAGATTGAGTTTTCTCTCTTTCCTTTTTACGCAGAATCAAGGCTCGCCTCGCTCGACTCCCAACGGCAGTCCGAAGTCGATGAGCGGCAAGTCGCCGCCCCTCGGGCTCCCTCGCTCAACGCCGAGCACGCCGGGCGACCCGCTAGCGGGAGTCGGCGGCGACGTGAAACTCGCCTTCGACCAGTCGTCGCGCGTGCGCAACCTGAGGAACGACCTGCTCGTCGCTGCCGACTCCGTCACGAACGCGATGACGTCACTCGTGCGCGAGCTGCATTCTGGTACGTTTGTTGTTTTCGTTGTTGTTGGTTTTTTTTCTCCATATTTTTTGTTCATTATCGTTATTTGCAGATTTCTTGTTGTTATTCGTCCCGCTTGCGTGCGTGTGTTCGTGCGTCTTCGTGTGCGTATGTGTGCGTATGGGTGCGCACTTGAGTGTGAGTGCTTGTGTATCATATAGCCCATCTGCGGCGGTTTTTCGCCCTTCCACGTGAAAACGAAATAGCGGTCAGTCAGACGTATACGCGAACGCCGTGATTTCCGTAGCTGCCAATCTGAAGCTTGTATCGCTTGTATTGTTTCTCGCATGATAATTACTACGCTAGTAATCTCATTACTTTGCTGATTATGCACGACATTACGTTGCAATCCTGTTATAATTGTCGCAGGTAATAATTAGCTCGAGCATTGTTTATCGCAGTCTTCGAGCTTCAGCTAATGAGTTATCGGGGATGCTCAAGGAAGCGTGCCAGTATCCTCGTGTCTGTCACGCGCGCATTTTTAGCTCACCTTGACATCGTCAAGATGAGCTATTGCCATGGGTCGTCGTCCGTCGTACGTCCGTCCGTCCTTCCGTCAACATTTGGCTACGGTCAACGATAACTCAGGAACCGTTTGACCCACATGTTTGAAATTGGGTATAGTTGTTACTTCTATGGGAGAGGTTTGGACGTCCTATTTTGGAGCACGCCAGTCGACGTACTTTCGAGCCACGGCAATTTTTTGGCAAAAATGGAAATTGCCATTAGTCAGTTCAGGTTCAACGGATTTTGCTCATTTTTGGTATGTGAATGAATAAAGGCTAGCCCCAAAACGTATTACAAGGGTTTTGATATTTAAAAAAGAATTATGCAAATTAGGTAGGTTTTGGCAATTATATAGCATATTATATAGACACGCAGATAACAGTCTGTGGTGTCACACTCGTCTGGTTCGTTTTACAGGATTTCATGGACAATATCTTTAATGCAAAATTGGTATTTCCTCTCCACCCTGCCGATAAAACGTCGATATTAGAGTGAAGTTTTACAAAACATGTCGGAACGCAGCATAACCTATTTATTTCGAACGCCATCGCTAAGAAACATCAAAGCGGGTATAGCGCCATCTGCCGTCACAAATTGTGATTCATTTTGGTTTATAAATTATTATTGCGATATACAGATGGCAACCGTGTAAAAGAACAACTAGTGCTAGAAAAACTCGATGTAAGATACGAAGTAAACACTTCCACGCAACCAATTAACCTTTGACAAAAGTTGTATTATGGGCAGGGAAACACCATTGTCACGTGGTATATAGCAGCTACGTGGAATAAGCGTATCCTCTCAATCTTACACGTTACACATCGGGAGCTCCGCTTTTAGGCAGTGCCTAAATCTGAATATTATAAAACCGTTACCGCCTTGCTAGCTCCAAGAAACCGTCTTGCTAGGGTTATTTGGGGGGGGGGTTGCGATTTTGTAGTACATATGTTACTAGAAAGTAGTTATTTTATGCTAAGAACAATGAAGGAATGAATTAGAAATCTAATTAATACCTTTAGTATAGTACCACTAAATACTGTTAAAACTGGTGGCTAAACTGCCCCCCTCCCCACTCGGTGCACTTGTTCCCATTCACTCATTTGTGCCCTTTTTGTGGTGAGCTACAGTGTCATTAACACTTCCATTTAATTATTCATGTGAATCGGCGTCGTGTAAGCTTCTCTGGCGTCAACATGGTTTAACCTTGATGTCTTTTTTTTTATCTCACCTTGTCCGTTAGGGGTGGGGTAATATCAGGAGTGTATATAATATTGATCATACTCCTCTATATTATACACTCCTGGTAATATAACGTCTCTCTCACGTCCCTCAACATTTCAATGTGTTGTATATGCAGGTCTCGAATCTCCCAACCCGTCCATGAGGGGATACATGCAGGTGTCACCTCTCCTTAGTCATGTACTACCCTATGTAATATAGCAGGGCTTTATGCTAAGCTGTTATAGTACATGTACTTCTCTCTGCAGAGGCATCGAGTGGGGAGAGTGACGACGAAGATGACAAGAAGATGGGCAAGTTTAAAGGTGATTTTATTGTCAAATCTGTTCGTAGTTTCGTTTCCCATGCTCCTGCCTTATTCAGGGCCTTGTCACACGTGCCCTGGTCTTGTTCAGTGTCGTACTATCCTTACTCCTATCTTGTTCAGTGCATTGCTTCCATTTGTTCTACTGTCTTGTGCAGTATCTCTATATCCGCACTGCTGCTTCGTTCTGACAGACGACCCAACTGTCCCGGTCTCACCGGGATCGTTCCGGTGCGACATGCTGGTCCCGGTGTCCCGTTAAGAGTCCAGAAAGTCCCGGTCGTAACATTTTTCAGCCATATTTTAAAATTTTCATCAGTAAATTACTCAATTTGCCGTGGTTGTTGATGTACTTTGATTCCAGCGAACAATAAAAGGCCACAAATGTCAAACACTTTAGTTTTTTTTTGCATTTTCATTTTGAATTTTCATTTTATTTCACATGTATACTTTATTTAAAAAAATGGTGGTGTGCCGCGACAAACACATGTCGCAGCCCGCCACAACTTTTTTCCTGTTTTTGTGCACCGCGAAAAAACGGCGATGGACCATTATCACAAGTGATCCCTTTCTTGGATTTTCCCAGCTTGGGACCTCTGGGTTCAGCTTGTGACAGCGCATGTCTCACACGCTCCCTGGCTTTTGCTTAGGTTTTGAATTCATGGATCCGGGAACAGGGGAGTGGAAAGACAGTAGGGGCAGAGAGAACGACTTTCTCAAGCAGCTTAGGGCAAGGAAACATAACCAACCCATTCCACACAAGAGCAACAGCGACACAGAAGGGTACGTAACGGAAACATAATTACATATAAGCGTCAACTGACAGCAAGTATCAAAACTGTCTCCTATTATAGTGGCTATGAAGTCTATGCATTTTCCTCAAGCGACCTGAATACTCTTGAGAAACATATTGAAATATTTATTGACAAAAGGTAAGACCTTGTCTGTTGGATATTTTCGGCCTGACAAAAAAGATAAATGTGTGCGTCGTGGATGTTGGATTTTTTTTCGTGATTACGATACAGTAACATTGACTAGCCCCTGCACTATCAGCGCTATCGTCGAGCCTGGGGGCTATTGCGTTAGAGAAAGGTTTCACCATAAAATTTTATTGCTCCCTAACTGCCGCCATGGTAATTCTCAACAACTTTCGTTGTCACTCAACCCATGAACCCTATATTTAATGCCCTGCCACTGTTAGTACACGGCCGCCGTAACCAGCTAGCCATTATCACCGTAGAGTTCGCATTTCAAGCGTCATGCAATCTTACTTAGATCTACAACGGACCGGCCCGTATTTGCAGGTTTTCACCCTGCCCGATACTGCTCGTTTTCTCGGACCAGAAATATCGTAAAGTTAATGCTAATGTAATTGTTAATGATAAGATAACACTTACGACTGATGTTAATGTTAAGACTAATGGTAAGACTGAATTTTCTTTCTGGCAACGGGTCCCAGCTCCTTATATGCAGATTGTATGAAACAAACGCGGTGATAGCAAACTTGGCTCGCTAGTCCGAAGGTTCACTAGTCCGAAACACTCACAGGGGATGTAGAATTGGCAAGTGTGCGCGTGCGGGGGGGGGGGTGACAGCTCGCTAGTCCGAAGGTTTACTAGTCCGAAGGGTCACTGTAAAGTATGGTTTGCAGATGGTAGAAATAGTAGTTGTGTTTAGAAATGTCGCGACAAGTGGTTGCATACTGGGTTAGTCAGCGGCAGCGCGTATGATGCAGAAAGGATGATGGAGATGAAAAACGCGGAGAGAGAATTGTTGTACATGTGGGCAGCGGGTGTGGTTGTCCGGGCGCGCGCGTCTTTCTTTGTTAGCTAGAAATGTATAAAAGGAAAAGGTTCTTGGTTGTGGGGGTGGGACGTGAGTGTGCGAGGTACGCGGCTACGTGCCTCTGTGCGAGCGCATGTGGGTTGAGAAACAATATACTATTTGCTGAACACAACTGCTTGGACTTTGGAGTTTTCCTTATTCATCGCTACAACTAATCTACATTGAAACGGGTAACGTCATCTTCGTCGTTACATCACTAGTCCAAAACACTCACAGAAGATGTAGAATTGGCAGGTGTGGGGGGGGGGAGGTAATGGGGAGGCTTTTAGTATTGCCCGGTTTTGTTACAATTTAAGCATTTTACGGTACCGTCAACTGGGGTAACTTTGAACACGCAATTTGGGAAAAAAAATGGTTTGAAAAAATTTGGAATTTTAGTTTGAAACGCAAATATTTAATATTTTTATGAAAATGGACAAAAGGTTTCAAAATAGGCCCTAATTTTACCAAACCAGTAGCTGAGTGGGTGGATAAATGAAGCAGCTGCAGATGCTCTAAAATGGTTACACTTTGTTTTTTGGCTAAATTATATCAGTGAAAATGTTGTTTTCCCTTCGGGCCAGTGACCCTTTGGACTGACGACCTGTACGTAACCAACAAGCTCTCCCGATGTTGTGTTCACAGTCGTTGTGTGCTCGTGATATATGTATATGTTTACACACCTCGCATTCACGTGGTTGCGAAATGGTCGGATGTCTAATGTAGATAAGTTCAGTGCTCTTCACTACTGCATCGTAACGCTCCGTTTTTCATCACTACTGCATCGTAACGCTCCGTTTTTCATCACTACTGCATCGTAACGCTCCGTTTTTCATCTACTACTGCATCGTAACGCTCCGTTTTTCATCACTACTGCATCGTAACGCTCCGTTTTTCATCACTACTGCATCGTAACGCTCCGTTTTTCATCACGCCCCACCTTCACGATGACTTTACCGCTATCTAAACATCTCTTCTTATCTAAATGTGACGTACGAACGTGACGTGTAGGAAGAACGATTTGTACATATTCCAGCACTAGTCTCAAAGTAAAGCATTCTGATGACATCAGTACGGGAGGGTTCTGTGAGCGCGCAGTGCCTTGCCTTTCCTCATCCCAGTGCTTGAAATGTCTAAAAAGCTTTATGAAGAACTTGGAAGTTTACTACATCAACGAGCATATATTCACAGTTGTCTGATATCTATTAATTTTTTCCAGTTATATCAACACCGACGATGCAGACTCATATATCAGAACAGATGATGAAAGTTATTTAGCAACCAGTGATGGTGAATACTTGCGCACGGACGATGAGTACGCTACAATGGATAGAGATGAAATCATACATAGATTTGAAAAAATTAGACATAGTCATGTAAGCGTCCATTATATATACACTGTATATATATTTATTTATTTTTTATTTTTTTTGGTATTTAATAAAAATGAAAAAAAATCGCTAAATGTGAAGAAAACATTTTACATCTGCTAAAAAACAAATAAATAAGTGTGACCTCGGCTTTGCGATGTAACCTCGTTAATGACCTGCTCACCTGGTCCCGGGGTGAGAGGGTGCGCATTTCTGCTGCTGCTGCTGCTACTGCTGTTGCTGCTGTTGCTGTTGCCTGCTGCTGCTGCTGTTGCTGCTGTTGCTGCTGTTGCTGCTGTTGCTGCTGTTTCTGATTGCTGCCCGCTCGCCTCCATCCAGTGTACGAGACTTATGTTATTGCGCGCGTACTTGCAGGAGCCGTATCGGCACAGGTCGGCGCCGGCGGACGACGACTCATACGCGCGCACTGACGACGATGAGTCCTACATACGCACCGACGACGAGGAGGGTGGTAATGCCGAGTGGGAGGACGCGATGAAGCGCTGGATCAACCGATAGCACAGCGCCACCTGCGGGCCGCCGCCGAAAATTCGCAGAGCGGATGCAGGGGGAGTCGCGAGGTCACGCCAAGTGACGGTCGCGCTACTGGCGCCATCTGTGAATGTTGACCACTACATTGCCATTCGTCAGTGTGCTTGTTGAGGTCGAGAAGGAGCTCCTTGTAATTGTTATAGATGATTGCACGCTTCGACCGGATTTAGTTTGCAGGGAAGTGGTAGATTTGTATTAGTGGTGGCCGCGCACTTGGGTTGGTTGCTGCTAACATAACCTAGTACAGGTGGCACCACCTTCGCCTGGTGTGGATGCAAGCAGTAGTATTAATTTTATGCAACCGATGTTTAGCATGACGTTTCGGTGACGATCTTCGTTGTCAATATCATTGCCATGTCGACCGTGTAAGAACACGCGCACCCAACGCACGCAAGCACGCACCCACGCCGACACACACACACACACGCACGAACGCACGCAAGCGCGCGCACACGCACACGCACACACGCACGCAAGCACACGCACCTACGCGGACACACACGCATGAACGCACGCAAGCACGCGCACACGCACCCACGCGGACACACACACACACACGCACGAACGAACGCACGCAAGCACGCGCACACGTACCCACGCGGACACACACTCACACACGCACATGCACGCACGCACACGCACGCACGCACACGCACGCACCCACGCGGACACACACGCACGAACGCGCACACGTACCCACGCGGACACACGCACATGCACGCACACACACGCACGCACGCACGCACACAACAGAACGCTGGTCACACCATTATCGTTACCCCACCCCCACCCACCCAATCAACGTGTAGGCATCACCGTGGACCCTGGGCCGTTGTTGTGTTTGCGTTGTAACGTTGAATTAAGAGTTCATGTAGAAATGATGAAGTAGAAATCCAAACTTGTGTATTAAACTGAATAAACTTTAATAACTTGCACACAGTGTAGTCACATCTTGCACAGAGAGACAAAGACACGCGCACACGCGCCTAAGCGCGTGTGCTTTCTCCCGCGACCACAACCAGCCTCTCCTCCTACATCTTCTCCCTCAATCTCTCCTAACTTCCTATATATTACCCCCAAACCCCCTACATCCTGAGCGCACATGTCACCCGTTCTCCCAGACCGCGTCCTACCTCCATTTCACAATGACCCTAGAAACCCTAGACGGTTCTCCCTATAACATCAATCTAGCCGCACAAGACGCGCGACGCTCTGTCTACATAAACTACCACCAAAACAACCCTGAGTCTATCCGCACTCCGCGTCTCTAACTAATTTATGTAACATCTGTAAATTATATGTTATATCTCCCCCTTCCCCAAGACGATGACTACACTGTCATCGATTCAGCGTCCCCGCTGATCTACACTTCAACCTAAACCTAAACAATTTCTAAAATACATATTGTCGTGGTACCGAGAGGCTAGGCATAAAGCTTTCTATACAAAACAAGTAACGATAAAGTTCGATCACCATACAAGTCAGAAATTCAACACATTTGGCAGTAAACATTTTGATATCGCTGCAATTACTCTCACTCTTGCGTCTTTTTATGCTGTAGGCCTAACGTACGTGGCGTATGCGTATACCGACACGCATTACCGAAACCACGTTTAGCCATGTGCTCCATTACATCCTCATTTAAACCTCTTAATCCCATTATTACACACAGCACCGATGTGGACCTGACAACCTTTGTCACTTCCATACATCATACAGCCAAAAAATACGCAAAACTGATTTCATATTTTCGATGAAATGTTTTAGGCCTATCAAACTCTAATTGAAGAATGTGTTTAGCAGTCTGTCAATATAGCGTAAACGTACCGTTACGACAAATTCAAGAAAACGATCACACATTTCTACACAAAGTTTCATACGAAAGATGTTCTCACACAAAGACAAACGGTCACAAGCATCTACCATGAAAAAAAATGCCGCGTACATAAAACAAAGAAAAACTGATAAAAATACACATTCCTGATGATGTCACCCTTTCACGTCCATTTTCGACTGCACGAGATTAAAGCATTCCACCAATTAACTTCCAGAATTCCCAGGATTTTTTTTAGCCATTACAGTTCGCAATATATCTTTCACGTCATCTGTCTCTGCTCTGTCAGCCTTGCCTTCTCTGTTCTGCTCTCCTCTCTCTCTCTCTCTCACACATAGGTCGAGACTCGGACTTGCCCTCGCAGTATCACGGATGCAACACCGGCCCTTCCTTCCTTCACTCTGACTTACTCACATAGTTCTCACGCCGTGTGTATCCACCGTTTTCTCTCCCGCGTGTCGCTCTGTTCCTCCCGTCTCGCTCTCCGCCATTCTTCGTCTCTGTCGATCGCTCTCCGTTGATTTTCGTTTCTCCTACTCTTGCTCCTGTCCCGTCTCTCTCTCTCTCTCTCTCTCTCTTCCTCCCTCTCTCTTGCTCTCTCGTCCGCTCTCCGTTTCCCCTCCAGTTTTCTTGCCAGCAGTGTACTCAGCGACTCCTGTGTCTTCTTCCTTCTCCATCTTTCTTGCGTAGTATGGCCCGTAAATCAACATAGTGGAGTCCTTATGTTGCGTCCGCAAAGGAATACCCAGGTTTTTGACTGTCACTGGCACTAAAATGTAACGTTGAAGTGATGTTGGATGTAGAAATGATGAATTAGAAATCCAAACTTGTGTATTAAACTTTAATAACTTGCACACAGTGTAATCACATCTTGCACAGAGAGACAAAGACACGCGCCTAAGCGCGTGTGCTTTCTCCCGCGACCACAATCAGCCTCCCTTCCTACATCTCCTCCCTCAATCTCTTCTAACCGCCTATAATTATATTATCCCCAAAACCCCTACATCCTGAGCGCACATGTCACCCGTTCTCCGTGACCGCGTCCTACCTCCATTTCACAATGACCCTAGAAACGCCCGACCTAAAACACGTTTACCATTCTCCCTATAACATCAATCTAGCCGCACAAAATGCGCGACGCTCTGTCTACATAGACTTCCACCAAAACAACCCTGAGTCTAGCCGCACTCCGCGTCGCTAACTAATTTATGTAACATCTGTAAATCATATGGTTCAGCGTATTTCACCGCCTGCTAATGTTTTCGGACAGCGGGGCGAATTGGCAGTCGGTGACATTCGTAGGCTCTCAGATCTGTGATAACATCCTCCTGCGGCTATACGTATTAGGACGGATAAAGTACTACGCATTTCTGGTTGACAATTGCACTGCCTGGTGATGGTTGACGGTTGCACTTCCAGGTATACTTCTGGCTGGCAATTGTGTTACCAGGTGTACTTGCGGTTGTGGAGTGTGCTGCCAGATGTACTTCTGGAGTAAATGTCTACTGTATTATGGGTGGCTTACAATATGTACGATTGTGAATTGCGCTGTAATAAGTACAAATTGCTATTGGTTGCGAATAGTGTTACTGGTGTATGACACAGAATCTTAGCTCATTATTACTACCATTTTTTGGATTAGCTTCTTCCGGATCTTTACTTAACATCCGATTATAACAAAAGTTCATGTCGATTTGTAACACAACACAGTGTTTATTATATATACATCCATGATTATTCATTAATTTTGAGAAACGAGAATAACATCAACAGTTCGTGTTACATGGGTCTTTTTGTCTTATGATGTGCTATTCATGATGGACCCAGATTTCTTGGCAGTTGCAGGCTCCCAGTTTAGATGTGAGTAGGATTTACACTGATAAAGTGACCGCACTCGTTTTCAGTCGACATATAATTGAGAAAAGCGTGTGCGAACATTCGCATTTCCCTTGTCAAAATGCGCGTTGGCTATATGTATAATTTCCTAACAGTTTTCTTTTTATTTCGTTGATGTGTGATAAAAACCCATTTTACTGATGACGCTATCGGAATGATCGATTCGAGTTATTGGCAGATTCATATCGATGTATCATGTATGATTATCGTTGGAATTATTTTAGAATAAAACAGACCCTGTCCACTTTGTAAATATGCGCTACATAAATATAGTTTCTGTAGGGCGGCTAGAAACTACAACGGTCTACATTCCCCTACGCTAAACCAGGGGCCCGTTGTCAGACACAAAATTGATCTTAACATTAGTCTTAACACTAACATTTCCTCGTAGACCGTCAACGTCACTTTGTTTCGTATTGTTATGAGGAAATCTGCTACGATTTTTCATTCTCGTAACTTCGCAGCGTTTCTGTCAACGGTCTAAGAGAAAAAGTTAATGTTAAGACTAATGTTAAGACCAATTTTGTTTCTGACAACGGGGCCCCTGGGCACTAAACAGTTTTGTACAATAGATTCCTCACTATTTCTAGTACTAAAGCACATTGTCTGTAGCTTTGTGTTGGGATTTTACCAAATCTTTATCTAAATATTATTGTCAGTTAATCTTACATTGAAATTATAGCAGTGCAGCCCGTAACAAGCCCACAAATACGTGGTCGATATAAAATCATTGAGTATTTAAGCGCAGATGTGGTCGACATTGCTTCGACAATTTATGTATTAAGTTAACACTGCAGCGTACCAAGTGTTAATGAACTGGGGTGTCGGTCCTTCTCTCCCAGTATTGTGTCTTATAGTCGTTATGTCGATGAAAAAGTTGTGAGGACATTTTTGCAAGCGCTTGACGAGTCGATGCATCGTCGATGCATTCCTAAAAAGACTGTGATCGGATGATATTGTCAATTTATTTGCTGTAGAAGATCACATGATTTCCGCAATAAACACCACTTTTAGTCGCATGTTAAGACTGACTAGTAAATAAAACAGCTATACTGTTGTTTCAGAACAGCCTTGTTGCTTTTCTCATTAGGATCTCTGCTGTAGTGTATGTAAGCCCAACGCATTTCTATCTACAATGACAGGTGACCACGGCTATGATAGTAGTCTCAGATCTTACTGTTCGCTACGCCAAACAGTGTCGTGTAGTGTAGTATAGTATATTATAGTGTAGTGTAGTGTAGCATAGTATAGTATAATAATAGTATATAGTATATAGTATAGTATATAGTATAGTATAGTATAGTATAGTATAGTATAGTATAGTATAGTATAGTATAGTATAGTATAGTATAGTATAGTATAGTATAGTATAGGATAGTATAGTATAGTATAGTATAGTATAGTATAGTATAGTATAGTATAGTATAGTATAGTATAGTATATAATAGTATAGTATAGTATAGTATGGTATAGTATAGTATAGTATAGTATAGTATAGTATAGTATAGTATAGTATAGTATAGTATGGTATAGTATAGTATAGTATAGTATAGTATAGTATAGTCTAGTATAGTATAGTATAGTATAGTATAGTATGGTATAGTATAGTATAGTATAGTATAGTATAGTATAGTATAGTATAGTATAGTATAGTATAGTATAGTATAGTATAGTATAGTATAGTATGGTATAGTATAGTAAAGTATAGTATAGTATAGTAT